ATGGAGAAAGGAAAGTCTCTTCAATAAATGGTGCTCGTAAAACTGGACAGCCACATGCAAAAAAATGAATGTAGACCGTTATCTTACATCATACACAAAAATTAACTCAAAATGGATTAAAGATTTGAATGTAAGACCTGAAACCATGAAACTTCTAGAAGAAAACATATGCAGTACACTCTTCAACATCAGTGTTAGCAACATATTTTCAAGTACCATGTCTGACTGGGCAAGGGAAACAATAGAAAAAATAAACAAGTGGGACTACATCAAACTAAAAAGCTTCTGCACAGCAAAGGAAACCATCAACAAAACAAAAAGACAATCTAACAATTGGGAGAAGATATTTGCAAACCAAATATCTGATAAGGGGTTAATATCCAAAATATGTAAAGAACTCATACGTCTCAACAAGAACAACAAAAAACACTAACAACCCAATTAAAAAATTGGCAAAAGATCTCAACAGACATTTCTCCAAAGAAGATATACAGATGGCCAACAGGCACATGAATAGAAGGTCAACCTCACTAATGACTAGGGAAATGCAAATCAAAACTACAATGAGATATCACCTCACATCCATCAGAATGGCTATAATTAACAAGACAGGAAACAAGTGTTGGAGAGGATGTGGAGAGAAGGGAACACTTATACACTGCTGGTGGGAGTGCAAACTGGTGCAGCCACTATGGTAAACAGTATGGAGATTCCTCAAAAAACTAAGAATAGAACTACCATATTATCCAGCTATTCCACTGCTGGGTATTTATCCAAAGAGCATGAAAACATGAATGCATAAACATACATGCACCCTATGTTCATTGCAGCATTATTCACCATAGCCGAGACTTGGAAGCAACATAGGTGCCCATCATGGGACGAATGGATAAAGAAGATGTGGTATATATACACAATGGAATACTACTCAGCCATAAGAAACGATGAAATCCAGCCATTTGTGACAACATGGATGGACCTTGAGGGTATCATGCTAAGCAAAATAAGTCAGAGGGAGAAAGTCAAATAGCATACGATCTCACTCATAAGTAGAAGATACAAACAACAATCACATAGAGATAGAGATTGGATTGGTGGTTACCAGAGGGGAACGAGGGAGGGAGGAGGGCGAAAGGGATGATTAGGCACATGTGTGTGGTGATGGATTGTAATTAGTCTTTGGGTGGTGAACATGAATCTACACAGAAATCAAAATACAATGATGTACACCTGAAATTTATATGTTATAAACCAATGTTACCACAATAAAACAAAATTTACGTGGAAATTTTTGTTCAAATACATGAGAACAAATTTAACACCAATGCTTTCAGCCTCTGCTGGATGCCTACAGTTGCGTGATTTTAGCTGGTGAGACGTGCTCTTCGAGATCCAGCCCAGAATCTGTGGCAGGGAGACAATAAATAGGCAGCTGTTTTCTTCTGCAAAACATTAGTGCTAATTGTACTTTTTGTTATTACAGAACATACCAAATACGGGCAACTGAAATATGGGCAACTGAAATATGATAGTTATTTCAGTAGATCCTAATTTATATGCACTGGAAAACCTCAGAAACTAGGGGCTAAGAATTGCTCCTCCATTAAATATGGGTGATAATACTGAAAATGTCTAGAGCATAACATTTTAAACTATAAATATGCTCCCTTTGAATGTTTTCAAATTTATTGAAATACTTCAATCACTTTTTTTGGGGAGTGAGGAAGATTGGCCCTGAGCTAACATCTGTTGTCAATCTTCCTCTTTTTGCTGAGGAACATTGGCCCTGAGCTAACACCTGTGCCCATCTTCCTCTATTTTTTTGTATGTGGGATGCTGCGACAGCATAGCTTGATGTGCAGTGCTCAAATCTACTCCCAGGATCTGAACCCATGAACCCCAGGCCGCTGAAGCACAGCGTGCAAACTTAACCATTATGCCACTGGGCCAGCCCCTCCAATCACTTTATAGGACCCCAAGCTATGAATGTTGGATTACTTACGGCTTTTCTGTCAAGAACAAAGATAGAAACTTTCAGAGAGTTCATAAGGAAAACAGGCTTTGACTCCAAAATAAAATGTTGGCAAACTGCATCTCAACTGTAATTTAATTCACATTCTTTCTGATCCTTTGTGAGAAAAATATCTTCAAAGTTTGATTTTTTCTTCCAGAACTTCCGGTATTTCAAATATCTTCCCTTTGTGTTTCTCGAACAATTTAAGTATTTAACTGAATTATTGCCAATTTACAGAATATCTCTTATGTCTTCAATGAAATTTTTGGCTTCAGGGGTATGAGCGTGTATCAAAACATCAAAACGTACATCTTAAATATGTGCAGTTTATATGTTAAGTCCGTTATACCTCAATTATACAAATATTCAAAACTTGTCACTTCCTAACCATTTTACTATGTTTTATTATCATCTCTATGTTCTTGAGGTTATTCACAGCTACTGGATCATTATGGTGCAAATAGAATGATGTGCCATTGGCAACTCTTCCCAACTCCATGTTCAGTGACATCATGTAACTGGCCATGTGAGAGTATTTACACCAGGGAAATTGGAAAAAACTACAGTAGAACCAAGATTTAATTAATTATATTATTGAAAGTCTAGACTTGAGAATATGTGAATCATGCAGATTAAACTTAAAAGTGTATGGTGTATATGGTTGTTACATTGCACATAACACACAAAAAATTGAGGAACAAAAATGAACTATTTATTCATTAATAAAAAGGGAAATAGCCACAATTTATATAAAAAAAAAATAGACAAAAGATTTGAACAGATATTTTATGGAAGATATATAGATGGCAGACAAACTCATGGAAAAAATGCTCAATATCATGAATCCTTAGGGAAATGCAATTAAAACTACAGCTTGCTTATTAAAAGGGTAAATTCAAAGGACTGACCATACCAAGTATTACCAAGGATGTGGAAGAAGGGGAACTTGCACACACCCTGGTGGGAATGCAAAGGTGCACAACCATTTTAGATCACAGTTCAGCAGTTTCTTAATAACTTCAACATTCAGCTATCCTAAGACTCAGGCATTGTACTTTCAGTTACTAACACAAGAGAAGTGAACCATACATACACACCGATAGAGTATCATACACAAATGTTCTAGCAGCTCTATTTTCAATAGCAAAAACTGGAAGTAAACCAAATGCCCATAAACAGATGAATGGATAAACAAATGTTATATCCATAAAAAAGATCCTACTCACAATAAAAAGTATGAACTACTCAAATAAGTATCATTGATGCATCTCAAAATAATTATGAACCATGAATGAAACCAGAAAAAAATAAACATTTTATGAATCGAATCATAAAATTCTAGAAAATACAAACTCATCTATTATAAATAAACGTAAATCAGAGGTTGCCTAGAGGCCTGGGGATAAGAAGGACAGATTATATAATGGCATGAGGTAAATTAGGGGCGATGCACATGTTCACTATCATGATTAGGCTGAGGTTTCATGGGTTTATATATGTATATCAAAATGAAACAAATTGTATACTTCAAATAGGTGCAGTATATTGCATGTCAACTATACCTGAATAAAACTTTACAAAATCCTTCAAAAGAAAAATCTAGATCTCCTACTCTTTTCAGAAAATCAGGTTTAGCAATCCAATATTGACTCTTTCCTGATGACCTTGGAGGAGCAGCCTTGCCTCAGTGGTAGCAAATATTGTTGAGCAATCAAGTCCGTTTTCACCTGAGTCAAAACGAATGCTGTCCAGCTCACAGAGCCACATCACTGGACTATAGGATCTCATTTCAATCTATGCTTGTTTTCCTGCCTGTGTAGCAATGGCCTTTCAGTGAACATCCCAGAAAGGCTAAGGGAATCCACAAAACCAACAGCTTTATTTTCTTTGACGACCTCAACTACAAAAGATACACATGCCTGGAGGTCCTGAGAATTTCTGTGCACACAGTTAACAGTCACAGTAACTGGAGTATTTTTTGATATAATTTTAGAAGGGACACGTTCCATCTACTGCAGTCTCCTCCACTCCAGTGTTACTGTACCAATTATGGTTCCCCCAAGACCCTGGAGTCTTACAGTGACAGTAGCCTAGTGAATTCTGGGTATCAGGACACACGGCTCCTTACAGGACCTGGGGTAGAGATTCCCCAGAGAGATTCCCCTCAACATGCTGAGCATTATGTGATAGCCACCAGAAACAAGAAGAACAATTCATGTTGTTCCCAGAAGCAGTGGAGGTTGTCACAACTTTGTGACTCCTCAGGGTGTTCTCTGACCCCACAAAACAACCTGACCCCCAGTCCACAAATTAGGATCACAAAGCCCTGCAGTCTTTCCTAGGAGATCTTGAGTACCAATGTAAATTAAGCCAAAAATGGAAGGAGAGGTATATTTTTCCATCATACTGTTGTCTCTGAGGCACACAAAGCATTGGACCACCACAAAAGGTGTTCACTCCTTAATGCTGGCAGAGCCCAATTGTTTTCAAAACACCTCACACAGTGAATAGAACCCCAAGATCAAAGGTGGCATAAACAATAATGTCTTTATTACTGAAAAAACAAAGCAATACGAGGCAGGCAGTTCCCAGGTTGGTGACTTGGGGGCTGGGAAAACCCAAGATAAGTGTCACGTGAAACAGACATGTCCTTGAAAATGTAGTCCTTATTGAAAAGTCACCAAGAGAATTCAGGATATCTTCTAGCAATTGGGGAGGGGATAGAGGCCAGTTTCCCTGAGCACACTGGGGTGGTAACCGATGCACACTGTGTGGACCTGTCAGGTGGCAGAGGTGGAACAAATTCTGCCATAGAAACTGGCAGTGATATAAATCTGGCAAGAGCCCTGGGCAGGTTAGAAAGTGTAACAGCTCCTTAAAGATTCCCACGTGTCAAAAACTTAAGCAGAATCTCCTCACTGTCGATTTTCAAATGTACTGGCTTTAACTAATGTAGATGGCTCCCTCATAAGTTCTGTCCTCTAGTGTAATTATATTAAAAGGAAACTGCACATCCTCTGTACATCTAAAGCTTTTCTCCAGTGTGAAGTCTCTGGTGTAGAATGAGGTCAGATTTGCAGCTAAAGGATTTCCCACATTCACTGCACTCATAACGCCTTTTTCCAGTGTGAACTCTCCGGTGTTGAACGAGGCTGGAGCTTTGGCTAAAGGATTTTCCACATTCCCCACACTCATAAGGCCTTTCTCCAGTGTGAACTCTCAGGTGTTTAACAAGGTTAGATTTGCAGCTAAAAGATTTCCCACATTCACTGCACTCAATAGGTCTTTCTCCAGTGTGGACTCTCCAGTGGTTCTTGAGGTTAGAGCTATGGCTAAAGGATTTTCCACATTCCCCACACTCATAAGGCCTTTCTCCTGTGTGGACTTTCCGATGTGAACTGAAGCTGGAGCTTTGCTTAAAGGATTTCCCGCATTTACTGCACTCATAAGGCCTTTCTCCAGTGTGTAGTCTCCTGTGGTGAATGAGGCTGGAGCTTCGGCTAAAGGATTTTCCACATTCACTGCAATGATGAGGCCTTTCTCCAGTATGAACTCTCTGGTGGTAAATGAGGCTGAAGTTTTGGCTAAAGGATTTCCCACATTCACTGCACTCATAAGGCCTTTCTCCAGTGTGAACTCTCTGATGCTGAATGAGGTTGGACCTTTGGCTAAAAGATTTTCCACATTCCCTGCACTCATAAGGCTTTTCTCCAGTGTGAACTTTCCTATGGCTATTGAGGCTGTAGCTTTGGCTAAAGGATTTCCCACATTCACCACACTCATAAGGCCTTTCTCCAGTGTGAACTCTCCGATGTATAATGAAGCTGGAGTAGTAAGTAAAAAATTTTCCACATTCATTGCATTCATAAGGCCTTTCTCCACTGTGAACTTTCTGGTGCTGAATGAGGTTACATCTTCGGGTGCAGGCTTTTCCACATTTGCTGCACTCATAAAGCCCTTCTCTGGTGAGGACTCTCTGGTCCTGCTCAAGTGTGTCTGTGTAGCTGAAGGCTGTCTTGCATTCTCCCCAGTTGTGATGACTTTTTCCACTGTGACAGCCAGACTCATACTCATTATTGTTTGGCTTCTCCCCAGTGTGAGTGAGATGTTGATAGATAAACCCTATGCTGGCTAAAAAGTCCTTCCCAATCTCCTCACATGTAAGGGACTTCCCTGATACATGGACTGTGCAGCTCTTTATAAACGAAGCTCTGTCCACATAACTTCTGAAGGGTTTCTCTCTAATGTGCTGCCCCTGTTGAAGGTTGGCAGCAACACAGAATTGTTTCCCACATGTGTATGTTTTCTGCCTAAGATATGTTCTCTGGTACTCAGCCATGTGCAAAGTGTCTCTCAAGATCGGGCCACACATCTCAAAGGGCTGGGCCTCCTGGGATGATGAACCTGCCTTAAGAGTCCTGACTTGTGACACTCCTTGTACACAAATGCTCTGTTCAGAAGGTGCATGTCCATCTTCCACTCTATGCCAACAACCTGAAAGCAAAGAAGTGACGGTGAAGAACACATTGATTTTACTGGGAGAGGGAAAAACCATCAGAAATGCACATGTGACAGGTTCAAGAACAAGTCCTTGGGATTGTTTTCAGTAAAACGGAGTTGGGGTCTGACTGAGGAAGCAGTTGTGCACTACTGGGTCCCTAAAGTCACAGAATCGGACAGGCCTACCAGGCAGAGGACAGAAAGCAAAGGTGTGTAGCCCGGGGTGAAAGGCACATTCTAGAACTCACACTTCTGTCAATGGCTTTTAGCAGCACTACATCTGCTAGTGACATGTGATGCTGTGCAGAAGTCTATGTCCAGGCCCAGGAAAATCTGACTGGAACAAAATAACAGGTGTTCAAGGATTATTAAAAGACATGGGCACATTTCAGGATGCAACAATGTTGGAGAGCACTGTGGAGGGCATAGTGTGAGAAGTAAGTGAGATAAGCAGTCTGGAGAGTGGGGATTAGCGCTGAGCTGGAGTCAGAATAAAAATGACTAGTAGAAAGAACAAATTGGCACAGTGTCAAGAAAGGAGAAGGGAAGACAGAAGTGAGGTGTGGCCACTGGCAGTGGCACCAAAACACAAGTCAGGCAGGACAGGGGCCAGCCCCATGGCTTAATGGTTAAGTGTGCACGCTCCACTACTGGCAGCCCAGGTTCGGATCCCAGGCACGCACCGACGCACCGCTTGTCCAGCCATGCTGAGGCAGCGTCCCACATACAGCAACTAGAAAGATGTGCAACTATGACATACATCTATCTACTAGGGCTTTGGGGAGAAAAAGGGAAAAAAAGGAGGAGGATTGACAATAGATGTTAGCTCAGGGCCGGTCTTCCTCAGCAGAAAGAGAAGGATTGACATGGATGTTAGCTCAGGACTGATGTTCCTCACAAAAAAAAAAAAAAGGCAGGACAAGTTCCTGGGATGATATGAATACAGCCCTGATGTCATGTTCTCCCCCCCGTCGCCACTTACCTGGGTCAGGCCCCTTGTGAGCCCATCCCACTGATACTGGAGTCATGTCCATCCTGTGAAGCACAGAGGACTCTTTCTCTATGCCCAGCTGAGCCATTGCATGGGGCCTGGAGGATCCAAATCCTAAGGGAAAGACAGGACAGGTCAGTGGCCAGTACTGGACCAGAACAACTCAGCACACAACAGATCACAACAAAGATATTTTAATAGTATATGAAGTACTTCCAAGCACAGCTACAGGAAAGATGGCAGATTATAAACACCAGGAATCTGTCTCTCCGCCTGGACAACAGTGCACTGGCAGAATCAATCTAATGTAATTATTTTACAACTCTTGAGTCTACTAAAGGCTGGCAACATGCTAAATTGATTTAATTTTGGTCAATTTCAGCTCTTACCATGGTACTGGTTATACATCCCCCAACTCACCCAATTCCCTAACTCTAAGCCCCAGGGCAGGCAACCATGCACATGTTCCTGGAGCAGCTTGCAGGAGCCAGGGTGCGCAATAAGGACCCTATCTTCTAAATATCAGGGACCTGTGCTCTGATTTCAGAGGACGTAAAGGGCAAGCATCTATCCCCTCCACCTCCTCTCCCTTAATTTTTCTTTTATTCCACTTTTGGGAGCGATAAATTCAACAACTATGATAATCAAAACCAATCATTTATATGGCGGAATTTAGAAAGTCACCCTGCATGCCCAGGGAAAGTCGCAGGGTCAGAATACCCGTCTAAAGACCTTATGTTTACAGCTCACATTAATCTCCAGCACAGAGACACCTTAGGACCATTAAAAAAACAAACAACAAAACCCAACAGCAAACCGTAAGAAGGGGAGAGGATTGGATTTCTTGAGTTACCACATCACAAGACACAAATGTCCAGTTTTCAACCAAAAATCACAGGACATAAAGAGCAACAGGAAAGTATGGCCCATTCTAAGGAAAAACCTAGATCAAGAGAAACTGTAGAGTGACATCAACATCACGGCGGAGTGAGTAGTTTCCTTTGTTTCTCCCCTCTAAGTTACAACTAAATGGACATTTATTAACCAACAGAGGATTGCCGACTGAGCACAATAGGATGCCTGAGAGATCCATGCAGCCATACATCTGAACGTGGGTGGACTGGATCCCTGGGAAGCAGTGGAATTGGGTGAGCGGACCCCTCTCCCTCCCCAGTAGCAGTGATCCAGGTCACAGGTCCTCACACAGTGGTCAGCGTGACTGTAAGAGGAGACTGGGGCAGCCCAGACTGCATGCTAATGCTTCCAGATTGGTGGCCCAGCCCATGGGAGTGCCCACTGTGCCATGGAAGCCCCACCCATGGGAATGCTCCTCGCCAAGTGGTGGCAGCTCAGCCTGCAAGAGAGACCCCACTCACCAAGTGCAGGAGCTCAGCTGAGCTGCTCACAAGTGCAGAGCTGGCCCCCACACTAAAGAAAGCGCCTCTGCCCTCCTGGCAAGTACAGCAGCTCAGACACTCCCCTGCCAAGTGCAGTGGTCCCACCTGCATGAGAGCAACCCAGAGGGGAGCACAGAGGCCCCACCAACACGTGCGTGCATGACCCGCCAAACAGCTGTGGCCAGGGCACACAAACACAGAGCAGCCCTACTGGCACAACTTCCAGCAGACGAGGCGAGATCAGAAAACACAGCTCTTGCCCCCCACAGTGGTGGCAGGTGGAATCTGTGACGTGATACTACCACAAAAGCACCAGCAAAGGATCAGTTCATTAAACACCATGCAGAACTACAGAAACACTTCAGAGCAGAAGAAAAATGACATTTCCAGAAATCAATTCTGAATGCACAGAAATTTAGAATCTAAATGAAAAAGAATTCAAAATAGTTGTCATAAAGTAACTCAAGAATTTACAAGAAAACTCAGAAAGACAGTTCAATGAGCTCAGAAATAAAATTAATGAGCAGAAGGAATACTTCACCAGAGAGATTGAACCTCTAAAAAAAAACTAAACAGAAGAATAAAATTAATGATTAAAAATAATCTAGAAACCACAAAAAACAGAGCTGATATCATGGAAGACAAAATTAGTGATTTAGAGAATAGAAATACACAAATACTTCAGATAGATGAGGAGAGAGAACTAAGATTTAAAAAAAGTGAAAAAATTATTCGAGAAATATCTGACAAGTAGAAAAAGAAATATAAACATTATGGGGATTCCAGAGGGAGAAGAGAGGGATAAAGGAGCAGAAAGCTTGTTCAAAGAAATAATGGCTGAGAACTTCCCAAACCTGGGGAAGAAACTGGACTTACCAGTACATGAAGCCAATACGTCTAATGACATCAATGCAAAAGATCTTCTCCATGGCATATACTATTAAAACTGGCAAAAATCAATGACAAAGAAAGAATATGAAGGGCCGCAAGGGAGAAGAAAACAACCTAAAAGAAACCCCTACCAGGCTTTCAGTGGATTTCTCAGCAGAAACCTTATAGGCTAGGAGAGAATGGAATGATATATTCAAAATACTGAAAGACATAAAATTTCAGCCAAGAGCCAAGAACACTCTATCCAGGGAAACTATCCTTCAGATACGATAGAGAAACAAAAGCTTTCCCAGATAAACAAAAGCTGAGGGAGTTAATCAACACTAGGCCTGCCTTACAAGACACGTTGGAAGGAGCCCTCCCACCTGAAACTAAAAAGCAAAGGTTTACAAAACCTTGAGCAAGCCAATAAACAGACAGACAGAATCAGAAAGTTGAAGCTCCATATCAGAAGAGGTTAGTAAACAATTATAACGTAAAAGATAATGGGAAGGAAAGCATCACACATAACTATAAACACAATAATTTAATCACAAACTCACAACAGAAAGAAAAGGACAATTTATGACAACAAAAACTCAGAGGGGAAGAGGAAAGGGATGGAAAGTGCTTAGACTAATGGAAATAAGAGACTATCAGAAAATGGACTATCTCATCTTTGAGATCTTTCATACAAAAATCATGGTAACCACTAAACAAAAAAATCAGAGCACAGTCACAAATCATAAATAAAGAAAAAACTGAGAAAACCATTAGAGAAAACCACAAAACTGAAATGGCAGTGAAAAATACAAGGGAAAAGAAATAATAGAAATACGGAAGAACGCAAAACTAGAGATAAAATGGCAGTATTAAGCCCTCATATATCAATAATCACTATAAATGTAAATGGATTGAATTCTCCAGTCAAAAGACAGAGTGGCTGGATGGATTAAAAAACAAGACCCAACAATATGCTGCCTCCAGGAAACACATCTCAGCTCTAAAGACAAACATAAGCTGACAGTGAAGGGATGGAAGACTATACTCCAAGCTAATGGCAAACAAAAGAAAACAGGTGTTGCCATACTTAGACAAAGTACATTTCAAGATAAAAAAGACAATGAGTGACAAAGAGGAGCAGTATATAATGATAAAAGGGACATTCCACCAAGAGGACATAACACTTATGAACATATATGCACGTAACACAGAACCACCAAAGTATATGAAGCAACTATTAACGTACCTAAAGAGAGAAACTGACAACAACACAATAATAGTAGGGGACCTCAACACCCCACTTACATCAATGGATAGATCAACCAGACAGAAAATCAACAAGGAAACAGAGACCTTAAATGAAATACTAGACCAGATGGACTTAATAGATATATATAGAACGTTCCATCCAAAAATAGCAGAATACACATTCTTCTCAAGTGCACATGGTACATTCTCAAAGATAGACCATATGCTGGGAAATGAGACAAGCCTCAATAAATTTAAGAAGACTGAAATCATATCAAGCATCTTTTCCAACCACAACACTATGAAACTAGAAATCAACTACAACAAAAAGGCTGAGAAAGTCACAAATATGTGGAGACTAAACAACATGCTACTGAGCAATCAGGGGATCAATGATGAAATCGAACGAGGAATCAAAAATACCTGGAGACAAATGAAAATGAAAACACAACATAGCAACTCTTATGGGATGCAGCAAAAGCGGTCCCAAGAGGAAAATTTATTGCAATACAGAACTACCTCGACAAACAAGAAAAATCTCAAGTAATCTTAAACTACACCTAACAGAACTAGAAAAAGAAGAACAAACAAAGCCCAAAGTCCGCAGATGGAGGAAAATAATAAAAATTAGAGCAGAAATAAATGAAATAGAGACTAAAAAAAAACAATAGAAAGGATCAATGAAACTAGGAGCTGCCTGTTTGAGAAGATAAACAAAACTGACAAACCCTTAGACAGAAGCACTAAGGAAAAAAGAGAAGCCTCAAATAAATAAAACTAAAAATGAAAGAGGAGAAATTACAAGGGAAACCACAGAAATACAAAGGATTATAAGAAAATACTATGAAAAACTATATGCCAAAATGGATAACCAAGGAAAAAATGGACAAATTCTTAGACTCATGCAACCTCCCAAAACTAAATCAAGAAGAAATAGAGAATCTGAATAGACCAATCTTAAGTAAAGAGATTGAAACAGTAATCAAAAACCTCCCAAAATATAGAAGTTCAGGGCCAGATGGCTTCTCTGGAGAATTCTACCAAACATTCGAAAATTTAATACTTATCCTTCTCTAACTATTCCAAAAAATTGAAGAAGAGGGAATGCTTCCTAACTCATTCGATGAGGTCAACATCACCGTGATACCAAAACCTGACAAGGACAACACAAAGAAGGAAAACTACAGGCCAATATCGCTGATGAACACAGATGCAAAAATCCTCAACAAAATATTGGCAAATTGAATACAACAATACATTAAAAGGATCATACACCATGATCAAGTGGGATTTATACCAGGAACACAGAGAGGGTTCAACATCTGCAAATCAATCAATGTGATACACCACATTAATACAACGAGGAATAAAAATCACATGATCATTTCAATAAATGCAGAGCAAGTAATTGACAAGATCAAACACCCGTTTATGATAAAAACTGTCAACAAAATGGGTATAGAGGTAACTCAACTTAATAAAGGCCATATATGACAAACCCACAGCCAACATTATACTTAATGGTGAAAAACTAAAAGCCATCCCTCAGAGAACAGGAAAAAGACAAGGGTAGCTACTCTCACCACTCCTATTCAACGTAGTACTGGAGGTTTTGCTAGATCAATTAGGCATGAAAAAGAAAATAAAAGGTATCCAAACTGGAAAAGAAAAAATAAAACTCTTGTTGTTTGTGGACAACATGATTCTATAGATAGAACACCCTAAAGAAGCCACCAGAAAGCTATTAGAAATAATCAACAACTACAGCAAAGTTGCAGAATACAAAATCAATCTACAAAAATCAGTTGCATTTCAATACACTAACAACGAACTAGCAGAAAGAGAAGTCAAGAATACAATCCCATTTACAACTGCTAACAAAAAGAATAAAATATCTAGGTAGAAATTTAACCAAGGAGGTGAAAGAGCTATACACTGAAAACTGTAAGACATTACTGAAAGAAACTGAAAAAGACTCAAGGAAATGGAAAGATATTCCATGCTCATGGATTGGAAGAATAAACCTAGTTAAAATGTCCATATTACCTAAAGAAACCTACAGATTCACTGTAATCCCAATCAGAATCTCAATGACGTTCTTCACGGAAATAGAACAAAGAATTCTAAAATTCATATGGGGCAACTAAAGACCCTGAATAGCCAAAGCAACCCTGAGAAAAAAGAACCAAGCTAGAGGCATCGTAACCCCTGACTTCGAAATATACTACAAAGCTATAATAATCAAAACAGCATGGTACTGGCACAAAAACAGATCAATGGAACAGAATTGAAAACCCAGAAATAAAACCACATATTTCTGGACAGCTAATGTTTGACAAAGGAGCCAAGAACACACAATGGAGAAAGGAAAGTCTCTTCAATAAGTGGTGTTGGGAAAACGACAGCCACATGCAAAAGAATGAAAGTTGACCATTATGTTACACCACACACAAAAATTAACTCAAAATGGATTAAAGACTTGAAAGTAACACCTAAAACTATAAAACTCCTAGAAGAAAAGATAGGCAGTACACTCTTTAACATCAGTCTCAGCAGCATCTTTTCGAATACCATGTCTACTCAGGCAAGGGAAACAAAAGAAAAAATAAACAAATGGCACTACATCAGACTAAAAAGCTTCTGCAAGGCAAAGGAAATCATGAACAAAATGAAAAGCCAACCCAACAACTGGGAGAAAATATTTACAAATCACATATCTTACAAAGGGTTAATCTCCAAAATATATAAAGAACTCATATGACTCAACAACAAAAAGACAAACAACCTGATGAAAAAATGGGCAGAAGATATGAACAGACATTTTTCCAAAGAAAATATACAGATGGCCAACAGGTACACAAAAAGATGTTCAACATCACTATTAGGGAAATGTAAATGAAAATTACAAAGAGATATCACCTCACACCCTTCAGAATGTGTGTAATTAACAAGACGAGAAATAATAAGTGTTGGAGAGGATGTGCATACACTGCTGTGGGAATGCAAACTGGTGCAGCTACTATGGAAAATAGTATGGAAATTTCTCAAAAAATTAAAAATAGAAATACCATACAACTCGGCTATCCCACTACTAGGCATTTATCCAAAGAATACGAAATCAACAATACAAAGAGACATATGCACCCCTATGTTCTTTGTAGCACTATACACAATAGCCAAGACATGGAAGCAACCCACATGCCCATTAAATAATGAATGTATAAAGACATGTGGTACATATATACAACACAATACTACTCAGCCATAAAAAAGATAAAATTGTCCCATTTGCAACAACATGGATGGACCTTGATGATATTATGTTAAATGAAATAAGCCAGACAGAGAAAGACGAACACTGTATGATTTCATTTATATGTGGAAGATAAACAAATACATGGATAAAGAGAAATTAGTAGTTACCAGAGGGGAAAGGTTACCACCACCAGAGTGTGGGCAAAGGGGTTAAAGGGGCACATATGTATGGTGAGGGATAAAAACTAGACTACTGCTGGTGAGCACAATGTAGGCTATACAGAAACTGATATATAATAATGTACATCTGAAATTACACAGTGTTATAAACCAATATGACCTCAATAAAGTAAAATTAAAAAAAAAGAGAAACTGTCCTTGAGAAGGACCGATGGTACACTTATGAGACAAAGACTTTAAAAGCACTGTCTAAAAGACGTCGGAGAGGTATATGAAAATGTGGACAAAGTCAAGAAAACGTTGCGCTAACAAAATGAAAATGTCAAGAAAGAGATAGAAAACATAAAAAAAGAACCAAAAAAGAAATTCTGGAGCTGAGAAGTATAGTAACTGAATGAAAAAATTCATTAGAGGGATTCAATAGCAGATTTGAGCAGGCAGAAAAAACAATCAGTGAACTTGAAGATATCAAATCTTACGTAAAAACAAAAAATTCAACAAAACTGAACAGAGCATAAGGATACTATCAGATGGACCAATACAAGCAAAGTGGTAGTTCAGAGAAGACAGATGAAAGGGCAGACAGATTATTTGAAGAAATAATGGCTGAAAACTTGCCAAATGTGATGAAAGACACGAATATTAACATCTAAGAATCTAGGCGAAATACAAGCAGAATAAACTCAGAGACTCACAGTGGCTCACTATAATCAAAGTGTCAAAAGCCAAAAGCAAAGAGAAAATCTTGAAAGCAGCAAGACAGAAGTGACTCATCACATACAAGAGACCCCCAATAACATTATCAGCATATTTTTCATTAGAAACCATGGAGGCCAGAAGGCAGTGGGTTGACAAATTCAAAGTGCTGAAGAAAAAAAAAATGTCAACTAAGAATCCTTTATCAAGCAAAACTATCCCTCAAAAATGGGGAAATTAAGGCATCACAGACAAACACTGAGGAAATTCTTTACTGCTAGACATGTCCTGCAAGAAATACTAAAGGGAGTCCTTCAGGTTAAAATGAAAGGACACTGGATAATAACCGAAAGCCATTTGAAAAAATAAAGATCTCTGATAAAGTTAAAAACATTCACAATTATAAAAGCTGGTTTTATTGTAACTTGATTCTATAATGCTGCTTCTTATTTTCTACATTATTTAAGATATTAATACATGAAAAACAATTATTAGTCTAAGTTTTTGGACACACAACATATAAAGATGTAATTTTGTGACCTTAATAACTGAAAGAGGTGGAGATGAAGCTGTATAGAAGCAGAGATTTTAAAAAAATTATTATTGAAGGTAAGTTTGCATAAATTCAAATTATGTGTTACAATTTTAGCATGATTGTGATGGTTACACAACAATGAGAATGCACTAAATGCAACTTAGATATGATAAATTTCTTGTTAGGTATACTTTACCACAATTAGAAAAAAGGGAAAAGAACCTTAGAGGAAGATCTGGCAAGAACAGTCTTTGAAAGTAGTTACCACGTGGGATCCATTAGGCTGACCTCAAGACTACTGATCCCAAATCCTGCCCTGTGAGGCTTTGGGGAAGCAGGCACTGGGACGATAAGGGAAGAGAAATAGGGATGCACTCAGCCAAGCCCTAGTAACCACAGCACCTACCCAGAGAACAGGGGAAGGAAGCAGTGCCCACGGTTCACAAGCAAGAAAGACACAGCTGCCCCTGGGAAAAACAGAAAGGCAGAGCCTCAACCAGGGCACGGGGGTGGGTGTGAGGGCCTTACCCAACGAAGATGTAAGTGCAAAGTTCTCCAGCATCACATCATGGTACAGCCGTCTCTGAGCCTCATCAAGGAGATCCCATTCCTCCCAGGAGAAATATAGGGCCACATCCTCAAAGGTCACACTTCCCTGCCAGGATAGAGACAATGAAACCATGAATGGCCTCACTCCTGCAGACCCACAATCTATCTCACCACACATCTACCCCATGTCCATCCTCCTCCCAAGATCCCCAAATCAGAGAAGATACCAGACCCTGATGCCATTGGTGTCTGATCTCTCCTCACACTCCCATTAATCACTGTGTTCACCCTGTTTTCCACTCTGCAACCAGGTGGAGCCTGTTAAGACCTAGATAAGATCACCTCCCTCCTCTGATCTAGAGCTCCCATGGTCTCCAGAATAGATGCCTAACTTCAGAGGCAGTGGTTCCAAGCCTTACTTCTGCCCCCCGTCCCATCCCCATCCCCATCCCTATTCCCATCCCCACAGTTTGCTCTCACCAGAAAGAAAGGGGACCTGCAATTCCCTGAACCAGCTCTGCCTCACCTCCAGCAGTTCCACATACTGGTACCTGTTCTTGTGATAAGCTTCCACACCTCTTCCCATTGATGGCCCCAAACGGGAACCACAACACATAACCCCTGGCCTAGACTCAGGACCCTGAGCTTGGGGATCCTCCGGGGTCCTCAATCCCAAGGGCTGGGAGAGCAGCAGGTGAAGAGTCTCATGACACCACAAATCTGGAGAAAGTATGGGATGGGACTAGTGAAGGACTGGGACAACCTTCCACTTACCTGTGTAGGTTCCACAAGCACTTCTGCAGCCACGGAAACCTGTGGGAAGAGGCAGGTCTTAGAGGAATGTGACCATGGCGGTGCTCCACGGGCTCTGGCCTTCCCCCTACTCCTGCCAGGCCCCAGAGCCAGGTAACCTCGGGTGGACTGTCTAACCTCTGTGCTGCCCCTTGCCCGTTGTGTGTCCTTGGAATACAACTCAAGTTTCCTCTGCCTCAATGTTTTCGTCGCCCTCTATAGTCTGATCTTCTGCTGAACTTTCTTTGCAGGATTTTTCAAAGCCTCACTCAGATGATGTTTCTTTTTTGCTCAAAATTCTCCACGGCTCCCGGGGCCCTGAGAAGAACAGTGCAACTCCTCAGCCCGCCACTGCAGGTGCGACTCTACCCAAACTGTGTTCCCTGAAACCAACATGGACCCCAATTTTCTCCGATGTTCCCGGCTCAGTCACCCCTCCAGGCTTTTCCCCCGCCGGGCCCTCCCCTGGGACCCTCTCCCACACCCGTCACCCCGGCTCTCAGAAACAGGCCTCACGAGCGCCTCCCCGTCCCGGACACCGGGGCCTGGGCTGCCGGCCCGTGAGCGGTGCCCGCACTCGGGGCTCTAGGGCTGGGCTGGGCTGAGGGCGGGGAGGGCGCGGAGCACGAGCACTGACCTGAGCCGGCTCCCTCCGCGCGGCCGCCGCCATCGGACTCTGGGGGCGGAGCGGGGCCGGGAGCGGCGGGAGAGGAGGGGACCCGGGCACGGCGGTCCCTCTCCCGGCCCTGGCGCGGGTCCCTCGGGCGGCGTCGCCCAGCCTCAGAGCCGCCCTGTGCAGCGGTGACAGCGCCTCCTCTTGTGGCTTCTCTGTCCGCGACCTCGCGCCCCACCTCGCGATCCGAGCCGGAGCTCCTCACCCGGGCCAACGGACCTGACAGCCGCTACAATGACCGCCACGAAAAACGCCGGAGTCCCGCCTCAAGGCTGTTCGCCCTCCCGGAAATGCCCCCTCTCTGGAATTTCATTGGACGAGTGCTGCTGCCGCTCAACGCTTCGCTTTCTGGGTAATGTAGTTCCCGCGGCCTCAAAGGCCTAGAGGCCGCACAGAAAATCTCTTAAAGAAATGGCCTAGCAGCGCTGGTAGGCTGCTGGGAAATGACCTCACTCTACTTGTTGCGAGGGGAAGGGGTGGCAGGCCAAATTCTGGGGTTTCTCAAGTGTTCTTAAAAGTATTCAGTGCTACTAATCACTTAAGTGTTTAGACATTATTTCAGACTCAATGAAGCTGACTCCAGTGGACATCCACTGATAGCTGGAAGTGAATAAACATTACCTTATTGCACTTGAAATGCATGCAGCCTGAAGCGTTAAAGTCATTTTTGTGAGCTTCAGTAGGTTTGTGACTAGGGAACCAGGCAAAAACAGGATTACTGAGGATCTGGTCAACAGCTAACGTGGTCTGTCAAATGTTTTTTCAGACAAGAAGAAACTACATGTTCTGTTTTGCGAAGCTGCCCTCCCCTTTTGCAGATGTTGCTATCTTGCAGAGAAACTCACACGTCTGTAAGACCCCTGCAAAATGTTCCAGCATTTTGTCCTAAAGTTGTCCAAGTGTCCTAAAGTTACCTTAAACTTATTAGCATCTTAAATTCTTCTTTTCTGAAAGGGTCCATAAAGCCATGTTTACCTGCTATGCATGCACTCTAAATGAATACAGTTGTTACAGTTGTTACAAATAGACCAGTTATCCTCTGCTCTCTTGTGTATAAAGTCTCTACTGGCTCAGGGAGACACTGCTTTGGGAGCCATCCCTGATGTTCTCCATTGCCTGTGCAAGCAATAAACCTTTTCTTCACCTACTTCTGCCTTGGTTGTGCTTTTTGGCTCTACACTCACCAAGAGACAAACCCATTGAGTTCGGTTACAGGTTTGGTCTGGGACGAGAAAAGACATCATTCAGGGCCATGATAGAGAAGATAGAGGAGATATTGGGCAGCTCCGAAGCCGGTGAACAAGGTGGGATCTGGGCCTCTGGTCTCTACAGAAAATGTCTCTCCTGCCTGTATAGTCAGTGATTGAGCCCAACTCAGTGAGAAATACTGTCTTATCCATAAAACATAAAATTGTTTTATCTATATAACATAATTATAACTGCTTTATACATGCACAATCTTTTTCCTAATATACATAGAAAGTTTTTAATGTATAAAATATCAAATTAACTATTGTTTGCTAAGGAGCACTACACCATGTACATTTGCAAAACGGAAAGTGAAAAGTCCCTGATAATTCTACTCCTGGAGAAAGTCAATGTTTGCAGCATGGTATCTTTTTAGAATTCTGTCTGCACATGGATACATAAAGGTATGTTCCTGTTTTTTTGTTTGTTAGTGCCCTCCAGTCAATTCCTGTGGTATATCAGCCAATGCTCCACTGCTATTCATAGGGTTTTCACGGCCAATTTTTCGGAAGTGGGTGGCCAGGTCTTTCTTCATACCCTGTGTCAGTTTGGAAGTTCTGCTGAAACCTGTCCACTATGGGTGGCCCTGCTGGTATTTGAAATACCAGTGGCCTAGCTTTCAGCATCACACCAACAGGCAACCACCACAGTAGGACTTCCCACAGATTTGTGGTGCGGGTCCCTGACCAAGAAATGAACTCAGGCTGCAGTGATGGGAGTGCCAGATCTTAACCACTACGCCAGCACATGTGTGTTTGTGCATTCATATATATTCCTATACTAGTTGTTTTTTAGTAAAAAGGATGTCATACTTTGTATACCAACCTGTAGTTTGCTTTGCAGGCTTAACAGTATATCTTGCACAACCTAAATCTGCTTCCTCATTTTACACCTGATACTTCCTTATCTTGACCAGTTGGACACCTAAAGCTGCCTCCTTCTTTTAGGGGCTGCATTGCATTCCACCGTCTGTATACGCCATGGAGTATTTTGGGGGTTGCCAGCGCCCCTTGGTCCTAAAGTGCCACTCCAGAGTGTGGGACCCGCTCCTGCTGCTGTCATATCTCTGTGGGCCAAGAACCGGGTGGTGAAGGGACCGGCCGCGAGGGCCGCGACTGGCTGGCCTGCGGGTGCCCAGGGCGCCCATTGGCTGCTGTATATGGAGCTAGAAACGTGGCCTCGGCCCCGTTAGGAGGACTTACTGGTGCAGGAGGACTTGGAGATGCAGGGAAGACTTCGCTTGGGCTGGGAGGAGCTGGGGCTTGCTGCTGGCCACCTGGGGGTGCGCCCAGCTTCTGGGGCAGGAGCGAGGGCTGCAGAGGTGAAAAGGCAGGACTCAGCCTTTTGGCACAAATTCCGGATTTAGCGTCTGTAGCCAAGCCAAGACCTCATTAGAGTACCTTTTAGCTCCTAGACGCCTCAAGACCAGCGCCTGTGAAAAGATGTCTCTGCCAGGAATGTCAGTGATGTGCCCATGCCACCTTGAGGATACTAATGTAGGTCTCATTCTGTGAGGTGCTCTTGACAGGCCGATTTCCCACTAGCAGCTCATGGCACAGCACCTCACTGCTCCCTAGATCAACCCTCTCAGCTTACATTCACTCCCAGATCATTTTCAGGGGCCCAGTTGTCCAGAGTCTCACACATTGTCTTTTTCCTACAGGAATGTAAAGGAGGGAGCCCCCAGCAAAGTTCCAGAGAGAGGGAGTGTTTCCTTCCACAGCTACCAGTGAGCTGAGACCTGAGAGACCAAAGAAGACCTGGCCAGTCTCTCCCTGGCACTTGGGGTGCTCTCTGGGCTGACACTGAGTTTGGGAATGCCATTTATTAATATGAGTCAAGGTTCCAGAGAAGGCAAATAAGTGGACCAGCAATCCCATATGTTGGAATTAATCACTAAATCACTTGGCTCATTAGCAAAGGTGTATGCAGAAGAATTTTCATAGCAGCTTTAAGTGCAAACTAGAGGTACCTCAAGAGGGGAGTACGTGAGCACATTAAGGTTTATTCATACAATAAAACAAACTATGGTGATTATTATAGCGAACTAGTTCTATATTATTTAATAATGGAAACTTCTTGGTAAAATATTCATTAAAAATAGATTAAAGGGGCAGGCCCCGTGGTGTATTGGTTAAGTTCAGCATGCTCTGCTTTGGCGGCCTGGGTCTGTGAGTTTGGATCCCAGGCTTGGACCTACACCACTCGTCAGCCATGCTGTGGCAGCAACCCACATTCAAAATGGAGGAACATTGGCACAGGTGTTAGCTCAGGGCTAATCTTCCTCAAGCAAAAAAAGAGGAATTGGCAACAGATGTTAGCTTAGGGCAAATCTTCCTCAGCAGAAGAAAAAAATAGACTAGAGAACAGCAGGTATAAGTGAAGCACATTCCTTAAAGCTGTGGTTACATATAAATATAAGTGTTTGAAAAGGTTCTATTCAATAACAACCCAGGCTTCCACCTGGGTGCTACCTATGGAATTAATTAAACTAAATTAGTTTAAACTAAAAAATAGACATTCCATTATGGACAGTGTTCACTATTACTGTACATGGATGTGTATCCATCATGGAAATTGTTTAATATTATGTATCCATGATGGGTACACATTTTTCTCAAGATAATATGTATCTTGGCTTTGTAAATAAATTCTTAATATGCTTAAAACCTTTGCAATTCTACTTTTGCTGTCAATCCTTGATGCAGTGTGCAGATGTGTGGTGAAATGGGTGAGGGGTCTCTGGGAAATGAGAGGCCATCCTTTCATTCTTGGTCTGTGCAAAGCAGGAAGGTCCAGGGAAGGCATCAGCAGGAATGTGACGCAAGGGGATGGGAGGATGAGCTCACAGAGAGTGGAAATAATGAGGGTAAAGCTCTAAAACAGGATTGTGTTTGGCATTTCTCAGAAGCATCAGTAAGCCGGTGATTCTGTGAGTCCAGAGAAAACTGACCCTGTGGTTTTTTGCCCCATGGAAAACACTGAAGGAAGCCATTTAAAGAAATAGTGACACAGGGTAGTAAACATCACACGGTCTAGCGTTGATTACTTTTTTTTAAAATTTATTTTAAGTTTTTTTATTTTTGCAGGGAAAGATTTAGGCTCTGAGCTAACCTCTGTTGCCAATCTTCCTCTTTTTTTTTTCCCTCCCCAAAGCCCCAGTGCATGGTTGTATATCCTAGTTGTAAGTCATTCTAGTTCTTCTCTGTGAGCCACTGCCACAGCATGGCAACTGACAGAAGAATGGTGTGGTTCCACAACCAGGAAATGAACTGGGGCTGCCAAAGCTGTGAAAGTGCCGAACTTTAACCAGTAGGCCATCAGGGCTGGCTCTATCATTGATTTCTGAAGCAACATACATCTTGTGTAACACTCCCTTACACACCCGAGTCTGCCTGTCAGAATTCTGTCTCACTTCATTCCTGATTTAGCTCTTCACGTACCATCATTTTCCAGTGCCATGGTTTAGTCATGTTTCCTACTGTCTGGTGCATGCAAGTCATCTATATCTAGCTAATAATACAAATAAAAGAGGAAATATTCCCAAGAGGAGGAAAGAGTTCAAAAGGGAAGATCCATGCCTAGATAAAAATTATTATAAAATTTAAAAAACTTTACAGACAAAGTTATACAAACTTATGGTATGAAAAAATGGATCACCCATGAAGAATAATGAAATTGAGTTCAGACTTTTCAACAATATCAGAAGGCACAAGACTAGAAAGTAGTAAGGCTTTTAAATAATTGAAGAAACAATGACCTTTAAACCGAGATCTTTTCCTATGTAGCCAGCATGTTATTTTAGAAGGGAAGATTAGTACGAGTATTCAATGCTAAATGTCAGAAGAGTCTTTACCACACTCACAGCCAGCATCGAAGGCACTAACAGAGAAAGTATTTAAGTAAGAAGAGTAAGTTAAGGAGAACTCTTTACACATCACTTGACTTAAGTTTTACTTCCTTAATTTAATCTTTATTTTCCCACTTTAAACTAATAGTTTGCTGATAGTCAGTGCCAGAGTTCGAAAGTGTATCTTGGTCTGCTCTACTCCTGATATCTCTCTTAAGAATGTATTTTAAAAAACAAAAAGTGATTCTGAGAGTTTTAAAACCTCACACAATACAGAACTATGCTGCACGTTTTTTCAAGTTTGATTCTAACAGAAGAATAACAAAATAAAAAATCTTCAATTCCATGTAAGATAATGTATAGTTCTATGAAGTTTTCAGAGTGAAACAAACCACAGCCTATACAGTCCTACATGTTTTCCATTAAAATCTGAATTTACTTAGCTTAAAATAGAGTAGTATTATTGATTGATAGTTATCCAGGAAGGAATTGGATTTAAAAGTGACCAAAGGACTACAGTTTGGAACTATTTGTTCATGACTTTTGTTGGTTAATTGTAAAGTTTTGAAATCATATATGAAACATACAAAACAATTTCCTGGTTGAAACTCTTGGATAAACTGAGTCAATCAAATGAAAAGACACTTCTCAGAATGCAGCATAAACATGGGCACAAAAATGTTCATAAATTGTGTGAGCTTTGATAAATTGGGATAGATCCAGTATGTATTTCACAAATGCAGTTCCCAGACAGGGCAGTTCCCAGACCAGGCGTATTAGCATCCCCTGGGATTTGGTAGAAATGCAAATTCATGCATGCTAACCCTCACTTAATCAGAAACGCTAGAGGTGGGGCCGGAAATCAGGGTTTAACAGGCTTTCCAGGTGCATTTGAAAATGACTGGAATAGATAAACCAACATTAACGTAAGAGTTCTGGATTAGGAAAATTGTTTAAGCTCATAATTTTGGTGCAATAAATTAAAAATTGTTCATTCCTGGGAAATGAAATGAAATCGAAGGCGTTGTATAAATAAACAACCAAAAAATTGTAAAATGTCTGATCTATTGTGAAAATTAATAAGTATATTAAAAGTCTTTTAGAAAACATGAGACGACTTCCATGAAAGGAGATAATATGAGATCATTGGAAAAAAACAACTTTTTGTGATAAATAATAGAGAAAAGGAAAATGTAATTTGAGTTATTTCAAAATTTTTGCCATGTATTGGCAATGATTGAGCAAAAAAAAATTTATATTTGAATGTTGTTTAACAAAATCTGAACCTCCAAAATGAAAATTACTTATCTTTTCAAACCAATTAATACCATTTAAAAAAACTAATTGAATGTTATGAAAAAGTAAATTTTTTATCAAATACATAATATATCTTTTTAAAACGGAGATATAATTGACATATAACATTATGTTAGTTTAAGGTGCACAACAGGTTGATTTGATACACTTATACATTGCAGTATGTTCACTGTTGTCATGTACATAGTTATCATTTCTTTTTTGTAGTGAGAACACTTAAGATCTATTCTCTTAGCAACTTTCAAGTATATAATACAGTATTGTTAACTAAAATCACAATGCTGTGCATTAGATCCCCAGAAGTTATTCATCTTCTGATTCCAAGTTTGTGTCCTTTGACCAAATCTCCCCAATCTCCCCAATCTCCCCAACCCCCTGCCCCTGGTGACCATCATTCTACTCTCTGTTTCTACGAGTGCAGCTTTTATAGATTCCACATATAAGTGAGATCATACAGTATTTGTCTTTCTGTGTCTGGCTCATTTCACTTAGCATGATGCCCTCAAGATCCATCCATGTCATTGCAAATGGGAGGATTTCCTTCTTTCTCATGGCTGAATAATATTCTACTGTATATATATATATGTGTGTGTGTATATATATATATGTCTTGACATGAATACAGCCATGTTTGGCTGCTCCATTGACCCACAGCCACCAGCACACAAAGAAATATAAAGCTTCTTTCTGTGTGGTGGGAACTGGCCCTTCTCCCACAGAGATAGTTGCAATTTGTAAGAATTTCAAGGTCCTTTGGGTGTCACGGCCTGGGGCAGACTGGCCATCTGTGCCGGGCTGGGATGATAACCAGGGAAAACAATGCACGTACACAACTGCTCGGCTGGGATGATAGCCAGGATGCTCAGTGCACATACACCACTGATAACCATTTATGCATGGGAACACCAATGTTCGTTTTTGCTCTCAAAAAACTCTGTAACTGCTTACTCTGGAAATTATTGATGCTATAAAAAACTGCTGGAGACTGAGGCCCAGTGAGAGTTCCGCCTGTGGAAGGCACGCCTTGCCCAGGACCTGTGATTCCCGCCCAGCTGTGTCAATTGAAAGGACTCTCCCGGCAGTGGGACGTGGATGTTGTGAGTAATTGATTTGTTGTGAATAATTGATTTGATGTGTTCTCTTTTTGGTCAACCTGGTGTTTCTCTTTCCAGTTGATTTGTGTCATTTCCCTTCAGTCGATGAGGATGTTTCCCTTTCCAGTCGATCTGATGTTTTCCCCTCTCATTATATGATCTATTCGAATCTGCTGCTATCTCAGTCGATGTGGATGTTTTCCCCTGTTAATATTTGACCTATTAGGATCTGTTTGTGGATTATTGCCTTTACTCTCCTCTATACAATAAAATATACCTTCAGTCCTTTTGTTTGGAGTGGAAAGTTTCTTTTACATCTCTGATCAAATCCCCTGAACCTCTCAAAACAATATACCATATCTTCTTTACCCATTCATTCTTTGAAGATTTAATAAATAATTTATAGACCTGCTGAATTTGGGCATCTGGTTAGACCTCATAATGGGCCTGTCACTATTCTTAGGACAAGAGTTAGAATTCATGACTAGTCCTATAATACATGTCAGAACCAGCCATTACCTATATTTATTGCTTCCCCTCCCACCGTATGCCTCCTCACTCTCTACATTCCAAACATGGTGGATTTCTTCAGATCACTGAAAACTGTGTGTGAATTCACATGCAGAGGTCTAACCAAGTGATTTTTTTCTCTATGTGAAACTTCTGGATTTGAATATTCTTTAAAAATTCATAATGTTTTTCAGGTAACTAGATGAAAAACAAATACATAGTGACACAACTCTTTTCTCCCAAATTTGATGTTTCTTTCCATCGTACTTACTCAAAACTTTCCCAGGACTCCCCATTAGCTAATGAAGCATAATTAAAGTTCTATATAACTGTGTAAAATTTTTCACTTTTTGGTTACACTATTAGCTCTAGAAAGGCAGAGTTGTTCTTATTCATCATTATATCACAGATTAATGTTTGTACTCGATAATCATCTAATTGTAAAAAATTAAAAATACAAATTAATAATTGATCCAACTGCAGAAATCAGAAGAGTTATAGCTGTTGAACTAGATGAGGAAAAAAATTTTTTCTGCTGCAGAAGTCAAAGAAGAACTGAGAGACACGGGTGTCACTGCTGATGAGCACAAAGGGACTGAGGGTTGGGAAACATGAAGCTATTAGCAGAGAGGTGTCCACCAGCCAGTGGCCTGGATTCATGCTTAGAGTAACACAAAGAGTCAAAATGTAGAAGATACAGCAAGAGCAAGCAAAGAATCTCACCAGGATCAGGATGGTGCGTGTGGCTCTGGCCTCATGGGAAGGTCTGGCGGAAAGTCTGCTGTTGTGAATGTGTTGGACTTGCTGCATGTGCCTGTGCAGGACAAACATCATGTACCCACCAGTCCATAGCATGAAGCCCACACACATAGCATCAATGGAAGATAATATAACTGCCTGTAAAAAGCTGATAAATCTGTCTGGCATGAGTGAGGAGCAGTAGCCATAATTTGTTTTCACACTTAGATTTTTGCTGTTTCTGGGGCCAATCACTCTCATAGGAATGCAGACATTTACCAAGAGTTGTAGGATCCAGAAAAGAAAACCACAGAAGCCAGTGCATTTTGGGGATCTATTTCTGAACTCCATCCAAAAAGAGATTCTGGGGCAAAACTTAATGGCCTGGAAGCCACTCAGAAGGCAGATAGTGCTGAGAGAAACCCTCCTGGCCACTCTGTATAAATAGAAGACAAGCTTACACTTAACATCATCCAGGAAATATTTCAATCCAAAAGCTGCCATTGTCTGTGGGATCCCTCTGGAGAAAAGAGCCAAGTTGTTGGCTAACATCAGTTGGTTGAGAATCTGATCTGTGGATCTCAACTTATATCCAGTGAGCAAAGTGAAGTTATAAAGACAAAGGAGGGAGGAGTTTCCCAGCTCCAATCTGAATGAGGAAGATAATTCCCAATTCCAAGTTGGCATGTCCATCACTTTCATGGCTAGGAGATATTGATTTTCATTTGAGACATAAAGAAATGGTAGAAAGATAAAAACAAATGTGTTACCTTCTGCTCAGCTGTTATCTACTGCTATATGCAACACGTATTTCCTCTCTTTTGGTAACACATTTTCTCCTTTTACATGGACTTGAAGAGTATGTGCTTATGAGTGCACTGGTTATTAATTAAAGACTTATGGTGGGACCAGTCTAAATGTTCATAGAAATGGCGTTCACAATGCACATAGTCTATTTCTCTTCAGCCAAAAATCTGAGCAAAGATTATCTCTACACATGTATGAAGTTACCTCCATAGTATATTCTTAAGGGAAAAAAGGGAGGTGGGGAAGAACGTATATAGTCAGTTACAATTATTCTTTTGATTGTGAAGGAATAGATATAAAAATAAATGTAAACACACACACACATATACTGTCTTCCCCAGGAAGACAATTCTTTTCAGGGTCATCTATAGATAATGTGGTCAGAGAGATAGAGTTTTTGATAAAAGAGGCTTGGTGCCTTTCCTATTGTAACTTCTATCCTACATTATCTTTACAGCCATCATGATAATAACTCCTTCCTGAAACAGATCTTTTGTTTTAAATTCTTTAGGCAGTTTGGGAGGGGAAACTCAAATATTCTGCCTGAGTTCTCTGAGTCCTTATTGTCTTCAGCTCGAAATAATCCGCATACCAGAGTGGTGCTTCCTGGGGTAGCTTGCCCTGAGCACCATCAACACTTTCCTTGAGCCACAGAGACCACAGTGCCGAGGTTACTGAACCCTGCAGCCCTTGAAGAACTGCCGTGCTTCGCAGGCAATGGCAGCCTGTAACTTCCCCTGCTCACGGGGGTTCTGTGAAGACACAGGGAGGATTTCATTAAGTGCCTCCTGCTTTCCAGAGCAAGTAGATGAACTTACCCATCAATAAGGGTCTCTGGTTAAACATTTTTTGGTTGAAAAAGAATCTTTTTATCCTAGATAAGTAGGGGGGAGGTGAAAGGAGTGGTTTGAGGAATTTGGAGGGTTGAATGTCAGTAAGGCATTTAACAGTAAGGCATTAAAAAATATAATTAACTGACCGGCCAAATTTATATTTTAATTTTTTAAGTCCCTGATTATTCCTTTGCATAATCTATAGCAATATTTATTTTTATAAATGAATTGAATGCCTATAAATGGGAGAGCAAGTGAGACTTTCATTTCTCTAAATGGCCATACCATGTAAACAGCTCCTACTCATGAGAGAAAGGTGGAGACATATTAGTACAGACTTCCTTCAGCCCCACATCCTCTCCCAGCAAATGAAATGCACATACCAGCACGTGACACTCAGACACCAGGTCTCTGCTCAGTGGCAGGGAGCTCACCTTCATTATCTTATTGCTCCTCACACACCTGTGGTGCGAAGTTGCTAAGAGTGAAGGTGTTTGGTTGAGGATGTGTATACAGGGAAAAGGCAGAGAAGACTAGGAAGAGGGTACAGCCTGGAGGAGAGGGCATGTTGAGTAGGGCCAGGGCTGGTAGATGAGGGTAGAGATAGGCTTCTGGTTCTCTCAGCAAACATCTTTCCAAAATATGTATGTGTGTGCTCCAACCCCAGAAAGCAGATATTTTACAGAGAATAGGCATTTCTAGATTTCCTAAGATAAAATACTTCTAAGAATGTTGCTTATCTGAAAAGAATAGCTACTTACCCAGTTGACATTTGCTGTCGGGACCGTGGGAGCTGGGGCAGCATCCGACCCGTTCAGCAACTGAACCTGAGATAAAGGTTTGGGTTCCGTGATCTCACCTCCCTGCTGGGGAGTGATGATCATTTCACCTGTAAGTGCAGAGACAGTGTTTGCACAGGGACTGGAGATTATCTGTGAAAAACATTTGTGAATTGTGTATATTTCTGAACACTATTAAAATTTAATAATAAAGATTGCCAACAGATGTGGTCAAATAGCAGGGAAAGACAATGGGTGGAAAATATGGGGAGAAAGGATCACAAGGCAGGTGCACAGCAGACCTTGAAATCTGTTTAAAGAGAGAAAGCAGTTGAGCAAACGACTCTGCTGGATTCTTTATCACTTTGAAGATTTTTCCTCAAAATATGACTTGTTAGCAATTTAATTATGATGAACTATGATGTGGTATTCTTCCCTTTATTCTAACTGGGATTTGTTGAGCTTTTATTTTCCAACAAATTTGGAAATGTTTCAGCCAATATGGATTAATTTTTTTGTACCACCTTGCTTCTAGTGTCATATATCTATGTGACCATTTAATATTTTCCTACAAGTCATTCATGCTGTTTTTTTAATACTTTTTTCTGTCTCCTGTCTGTGGTTCTTTTGTCATAATTTCCCTAGCTACGTCTTCAAGTTCACTGACCATTTTTTATATATTATCTCATCTGCTGTTCATCCCACGCAGTATATTTTATGCTTAAGATATATATATATATATTATAAATAGATATATTTACCTCTCTATGGGCAGAGGACTTGGCATAGCCTCTGAACTATCATTAACAATAAAGTGAACTTTAATTTCATCAAGTTTCTAGTGCTAATTGCACATGTACTAGAAAAATTTTAGAAGGATATGATAAATAATACCAGTGGAATGCCATAAGCTAACAGACTATGGGAAATTATCTTAATAAATGGTCTGATTTTTCTTCACGAAAACAGTAGGAATTATAAAATAATCTGTGGCTATAGTAATTTGTTTGGATCCTTTTTCAAGAAAATCTAGTATAAAAATTATTTGTAGTAATTTGAAAATTTGAATCCTGCCTGAATATTTATCTGAATAATTTGAAGAATTATCTATTCTAGATATTTTATATAATGGAACCAAACAACATGTGACCTTTTGTGTCTTGCTTTTTTCACTTGGCATAATGGTTTCAAGGTTCCATGTTGTAGCATATATCAGTACTTCATTCATTTTTATGGCTAAATAATAATGTGTTGTATGTATATACCACATTTTATTTATCCATTCATTCTTTGATGGACATGTGGACTGTTTCTGCCTTTTGGAAAACATGTATTTGTTTGAGTGTCTGTTTTCAGTTCTGTTTAGTGTATACCTAAGAGTGGAATTAAGTCAACTAGATGTTCTCTACAAAAAACTCACTTTAAATATAAAGACTCAGATAGGTTAAAAGCAAAGAGATGGCAAATGATATAATGTGATAACATTAGTCAAAAGAAATCTGGAATAGCTATCTTGCTTTCAGACAAAACAGTCTTCAGAACAAGTAAGATTATCAGGCATAATGGGGGTGGCATTACAAAATGATAAATGAGTCAGTTTCCAAGAAGATATAAAAATCTTAAATGTGTATGTACCTAATAACAGAGCATCAAAATACATGAAGCAAAAATTGATAGAATTGAAAGAAGAAATAGACAAATTCACTATTATAGTTAGAAACTTCAACACTGCTTTTTTGGTAATTGACATAATAAGCAGGCAGAAAATCAGTAAGAATATAGAAGACCTGAACAGCACTATCAAGCAATTTGATTGAATAGACCTTTATAGAACACTACATCCAACAACAGCAGGACATTCTTCTCAACTTCACATGGAATAGTCACCAAGATCAACCACATTCTGAGCCATAAAACAAACCTTAACAAATTTAAAAGATTTGAAATCATACAAAGTATAAAATAGAAATCAATAACAGAAAGATAACTGATAAATTCTCAAATATTTTTAAATTAAGCAATGCATTTTTATTGATGTTTTAATAGTTTATAACATTGTGAAATTTTGGGTTGTACATTATTGTTTGTCCATCACCTTATATATGTCTCCCTTCACCCCTTGTGCCCACCCCCTACCCCCATTGCCCCTGGTAACCACAATACAGTTTTCTCTGTCCATGTGTTGGTTTATATTCCACATATGAGTGAGATCATACGGTGTTTGTCTTTCTCTTTCTGGCTTATTTCACTTAACATAATACCCTCCAGACCCATCCATGTTGTTGCCAATGGGATGATTTTGTCTTTTTTTATGGCTGAGTAGTGTTCCATTTTATATACATGCCACATCTTCTTGATCCAATCACCAGTCAAGGGACACTTAAGTTGCTTCCACTTCTTGGCTATGGTGAATAATGCTGCAATGAACATAGGGGTGCATAAGCCTCTTTGGATTGTTGATTTCAGGTTTGTTGTATAGATTCCCAGTAGTGGGATACCTGGATCATAGTGTATTTCTATTTTTAATTCTTGGAGGAATCTCCACACTGTTTTCCATAGAGGCTGCACCAGTTCGCATTCCCACCAGCAGTGTATGAGGGTTCCTGCTTCTCCACATCCTCTCCAACATTTGTTGTTTTTTGTCTTGGTGATTATAGCCA